TATTAAGGCCCAGTTCCACAACTCACGGTTAACTCTTAACCGAGGTTCAACTTATTCATTGTCTCTTTCCAATTCTCGAATTGGAAAGAGATGAGAAATAAATTGAACTTCGGTTAAGAGTTAACCGTGAGTTGTGGAACTTGGGGTGCGTTCCGTATCTCGCATGGTGCGCATAATGCGTCGTTTATCCTTGTTGCTCACCAAATGTTAAACAAGGACAAAGGATGCATCATGCGCATCATGCGCGATACGGAACGCACCTTGGGGCTAAATCGAGCTGCTCATTTTACGCATGCGCACAAAGTTTCCTAGAGCAGACGAATTCTTGCCAGCTCCCATCACTGCGGAAAAATTCCCCCCGAAAATTGTCGCCATATTGTAATTTTCCATGTCTCACGCACAAACGCTCGCAGAAATAAAGTGAATTTTCATAAAGTTTTTTCGTTTAATTAATCGCAAAAATAGCATACACATGCGCCCGCTGTAGAAGAGGTAACAAATTCTTAACAGAAATATAAACGATAACTTCCGTATGGAAAGAATCTATTGCGAACTATTGAAAAATAATTATTTAGAAATATTCAGAAAATTATTTATATTGTTAGTGGTATTATGAGACTTTATCATTTATTCCTTACACACACGCACGCGCCCGCACACACACCATGTGTGCAAACTCTAAAGCCAGCGGAACACGATGCTTATTTTCCTGCTGGATTGCTAGCTGAATTAGAATGCCACCGTATTGGCTGCGATGCTGTCAGTGCCCAGTATCACAGCCAATACGATGGTAAAGTTCTAATTCAGCTAATAATCCAGCAGGAAAACAAGCATCGTGTGCCGCAGGCTTAACCGTGCAACTTCCTTGACACGTGCACAACGCGAATGCCGTTTGTAAATAAATTTATTTATTGTGAAAAATATTACCTCGGTCGGGAGTTGAACCCGAAATATAGATATTTAGTACTGTATACTTAGCCAATATATTGCAAAAAAATAGGGTCTACTTTGAAACCTGATGACTCTGCTCCTGGGCAAGCTAGAACAATTTTCTTTATGTCATTTTAAAGGTAATGTTTTTGGTTTCAATATTGATGTCGCCATAAGCCACGTCACCATACGTCACAAGGTGAGAGTCGCTTCGAGTAAAAGTTGTGGGCCCCTAAACAGAGGTGTGGAAGTCGCTTTGCGTGAAAGTTGTGTGCCCCTAAGCAGAGAGGAGGGATGAATCACTTAGCGTAGAAAGTCGAAAAAACGTGAAAAAAGTCGTTTTCTTAAATATTTGACCTTGAAAATGACCATGTCGCCAAATTTCATTATTATATTCGTAATCAGCACTTGAAGATATAGTAAGTCAAGCGACAAGAAAATCGGGGGTTTACCCTTTCCGAACTCCATCCAATACCTAAAAGAATTTTAAAGTTCAAAAAAATGGAATCTCATCCGCAACGGATTTCAAGTGGATCAACACATAGTGACACAACAGAACATGTGCTTCAACCGTATGGTAAGATATATACAGTTCATAATTAATATTTTTAGTGTTTTTGATAACTTTGTATTATTTCAACAATTATTTGTTTTATGTTACCATTTTTATATTTGTTTTATAATAATCATCTTCAAAGCTACCCCCTCGGAAGCTTTAAGACAAAGTAATAGTGATGTATATACCGACGTGAAACCTTACATATGCGGAGTGTGTGACAAAACATTTAAGAGAAAAAGTGGTTTGCACAAGCATGAAATAATTCATACAAGTGAAAAACCATATCAATGCGAATTATGTGATAAATCATTTAAGTGAGTAACAAAAATCAGAAGAATTAATTAATAATGCAATCTCTGTGTTTAATTTAATTGGTAACAAATGATTAATATTGCAACGATCATTTTTTTGTCGAAAATTGAATCTAAACGAGCACAAGGTAATACATATCGAAGTGAAATCTCACAAATGCGGAGTGTGTATTAAAGCATTTAAGAGAAAAAGTCATTTGCATCTGCATGAAAAAATTCATACAGGTGAAAAACCATATCAATGCGAACTTTGTGATAAATCATTTATGTGAGTCACAAAAATCAGAAAAATTATTTAATAATGCAATCTCTGTGTTTAATTTAATTGGTAACAAATGATTAATATTGCAACGATCATTTTTTATTCATCAATGGAATCTAAACGCGCACAAAGTAGTACATATCGAAATAAAATCTCACAGATGCGGAGTGTGTGACAAAACATTTAAGAGAAAAAGTGATTTGCATAAGCATGAAATAATTCATACAAGTGAAAAACCATATCAATGCGAACTTTGTGATAAATCATTTAAGTGAGTAACAAAAATCAGAAGAATTATTTAATAATGCAATCTCTGTGTTTAATTTAATTGGTAACAAATGATTAATATTGCTACGATCATTTTTTAGTCGAAAATCGAATCTGAACGTGCACAAGATGGTACATATCGAAGTGAAATCTCACCAACACGGAGTGTGTGATGAAACATTTAAGAGGAAATATGATTTGCGTCGGCATAAAAAAATCCATACAGGTGAAAAACGATATCTATGCGAATTTTGTGGTAAATTATTTAAGTGAGTAACAAAAATGAGAAGAATTGTTTCATAATGCAATCTCTATGCTTAATTTAATTGGTAACAAATGATTAATATTGCTACTATCATTTTTTAGTCGAAAATCGAGTCTAAACACGCATCAGATGGCACATATCAATGCGAAACCTTACAAGTGTGACCAATGTGAGAAAAGTTTCACATCAAAACAAATGTTGCGTTATCATATAAATAGGAAGCACAACGCTAAAAGACCGTATAAATTTGATGAATATCCAACTACATCTATCTATTTTCCATTCGATATTACTCATACAAAAATACATACAGATGAGGAACTACATCTTTGCGAGGTATGTATGTACCTTCAAATTATCGTTAGTGTTCTTTTCAATAATTTCTCATTTGGTTGTTCTTTTATTTTTACTTTTCTGTACATATAAATATGCTGGATTTTATGTTTGCGGCATAACTTTTACTTCCAATGATAACTTAAACGTTCATAAATTTGTACATATCATAAATTTGTCCATGGCGATTAAAAGTAGTATGAATGTTTGGTGTGTGACAAGAGCTTCCCGCGAAAAGATGATGTTATTACACATATGTTAAATCAGGTCATTCATGAGAAAACGTTTAAATCCATTAATAAATTCTCATTTGTCTTCTTATTTGTGATATATATTGGATTGAAAGAAAAATTCTGCGGTACTTTATTAGCACAAATTGGAAATACAATATTTTCGTTAAAAATGATTAAAATTAAAATTTAAAAACGGTTTCAAAGTTTGAAATCTCTACTTTCGAACGATTACTGTAAGTTTTAAATTTATGTGGGTTTGTCATTTTTATATATAGAAAGCTATGAGATGAAAGAAAGGGAAATTTATCTCCTCACTTCAAGGGTATGTCACGTGCCAAAAAAATTTGCAAAAATTATCGGTTATCTATATGATGAACATTTGGAATTTTTTCAAAATCGTTAAAAAAAATATTTCTACGATTTTTTGTTCTTGAGTTATTCGCGAATTTAGTAAAAAGGAGCATTCTGAATTTGATTGCTCATAACTACAATAAAAATCATCATAACGCAATTAATACAACAGATTCGTAAAGCTGCAATGTTGCTCCATCAAGTGGTATAATTATCAATTTAAAAAATAGAATTCAGGTACATTTGAGTTAAAAATGTGATACTATTATCCCCCCCTCCCCCCCCCCATATAACCATTGCACAATGGAAAAAAAGAGAGTAGTATCACATTTTGAACTCAAATGTACATATATTCTATTTTTTTTTTAAATTGACAATTACACCACTTCATGGAGAAACGTTTCAGCTTTAAAAATCTGTTTTATTAATTGCAGTACGATGATTTTTACTAGTGAGTTATGAGCAATCCAAATCAGAATGTCCTTTTATTTAATCCATGTGTGACTTGGTAACAAAAAGTCGTTTTTTAACATTTTTTGAAAACGTACATTTTTTAAAACTATAAAATTTCACGCCAGATAGTCGAAAATTTTGCAACAAATATATTCTGTACATAATTTTGATTTAACAAAATTCCGCAGAACTTTTTCTCCAACACAATACTCGTAATCATATTTTAGTAGATAATTGTAATATACAATAACACATTTCATAAAAAATTATTTATTTTTTAGGCTCGCATATGTAATGACTCAGTAGTAAAGAACAAACCACAATTGACAATGTGATAGGTAGAAAGCAATTATAACAACTGTGACTAATATTGACGAATCATTGATGAAAGAAGATGAGAATAAAAATATAATTTTTTACGAGATATAATGTGTATGTATAGATGGAAATTTTCCAGTAATTATAATTTTTCCATGAGATTTGAATACTGTCAGACACAGGAGCACTGACGTGTAAATTTGACAATGCGTTCAGAAGGCGAAACAGTCCAGTAAATTCTCAATGTTTACTCTTTAAATAATTTGAGAAGATCGATTCTTGCCTTACGTCCTTGTTGGATTTAATGTAGTACAATCGCGAATTGAATACCTACAAAATTTTTTAAATTTGAAACTATATATTGTACTAGATATTGACATACTTGTGCAATTATTGCTGGATTCACACTGCATACGAATTGCGTCGTACGACGCAAATCGGATGCAGTGTGAATCCAGCATATGTCATTGGTATGTGCGATTCCGATCGCGGTCGATGGCGTCCTGTCCCGTCTCGCGCAGCTCCGTGACTACTCGGGCGTCTCCGTTGTTTCCGAGAATTTCGTATCGCGCACAGGACACGCGCCCGTAAACAATACCTTATCGTTCTCGCTCGAAGCTAATTTCGCTTCCGCGTGGTGCGTGTTTCGGAACGATGCATTTATTCGGAAACATCGCGACACGCCATTTCGGATTGGAAACGCGGTTTGCGATCGTGGGTGTCGGTGTTGTATGTCGCGGTAAGTAGAACGTCATTGGTCGCTTCCGAGTTCTTCGCATTCCTCGGTGATGACGTCACGCGTAAACATTGCCGGTGCCGCGTCGTTCAACGTTTCGCCCCTTTTTTTTCGCGAGATTCTATCGCCCACGTAAAATACACATCGAAAGCCGATGAAAAAAGTGGTAGTGCAATTGTATTGTCAGATCGCGTGCGAAGTGCGTTGCGTTTTAACCTTGGTTTTAACGGTGGTCAGGCGATCTTTCGACCATTCCGGTTGATCCTGAGTGGTGTTCGCGGTTTGTACATGCATAATTCACTCGTTAAGTCGTATTCGCGTAAACTGCGAATAAACGTCGGGAGCGACTCTGATTCTTCTAATCGATTCGTATTTGCGTACGAGTGTTTTTAGTGAATAAACTGAAAGTGCACAGGAGAGAGATCACCTGGAAAAGGGTACGCGGAATCAGAAAAGTGAGTAAAATATTGCAATGGAAGATAATATCGCTCATTTGCTATACGTAATTCGAAAATTTTTAGATCGCTTACAGAAAAAGAACGGAAACGTGAAGTGAAAAGATAGAACACATTTTTAAAAAACAATACTTTTATTTCTCTACAATCTATTATTACACCAAAATTGTATTTCAAAATTAATATTACAAAATTTTAATGATTTAAATTTTAAAACATTCAAACTTATTTTCTGGAGAACTTTGTTTTTTGATCGATCGTGTTATAGCAAGTGACATTTTTGATATAGATACCCACACAGCAAATGTATTAAAAATATATCTTAGAGATATCCTAAAGATATATTTGTGATATGTGATATCTTTAGGATATCTGATGTATTTCGGAAATTTTTGCTGTGTGGGTAGAGACATACACGCGTAAGAATATCTTTCGATCTATTTGCACAAATATATAAATGGAATGTTTGGAATTTGAAATTGTATACGCGATTGTAATGTAATGTGACAGAAAATCATGACCACGTGCAGGGAGTGCAAAAAGGTATTCGTAGAGATATCTTTAAAAAATTTGTATTTTTTAGGAAGTACACATTAATTAGCAATTTATTGACGAAGAATAAAATAGATTATATATTTCTTTTCAGATAGATCAGCAGTTGGGCAATCGAATAAACGGAGTCGGAGCAGGAAGGATGGATGATAACAGCGATAAGGAGGTTAGCAAGTAACTTTATTAACCTTTAAGTGAATACGTGGGGTGGCTACAGCATCGCAGATATAGTTTTCTTTAAAACCTTATTCTGGAAAAGGAAAATAAAATGTAATGCCCAGATGTCCAGAAGTCTTAAAGTTCTTAAAGCAGTTAAAGAAGTCTTTATATTACTTTTACATTCCTTTATCTCATAAAGATATAATTAATGTAAATTTAACTATAACGTAATATACTTGTAAAAAATGTAACTATAAAATTAAAATTTTTTAGGATGTTCGGAGTACCCCACGTATCAATTTGTATTTTTAAACTTTAAACCATCTATCTGAAGGGTGAAACCATCTATTGAAAGGTTAACGAAAGGAGGCTGTGCACAACACATTTTCACGATTGATTAAAAATAGAATATCCTACGTTTCGTTATTGCATTAAATATCAGTTCTCGTTTTGCTTGCATGCAAATATTTTCTTGAAAATAATTTCGAATTGAAAGCTGCGTTTTTAATAAAAAATGACATCATATACCGTGCGTGAAATATACATACTGAAAGAGACTGTATCTTCCATGTTTTTACGTATTTATATCAATACGTTGCCGAGGACTGCATCCTCGTAAACCAAAACCGAAATCTTTCTCTAATAATCATAAGATATGCGAAACGATGCCATGGCACGAACAATAAGAGTTTACGATCATCAGACTTGAAGGGGTTAAAGAATTTAGATCGCACAGCGATGCGTTTTCTCGGTTCTCTTGGCGCGCAACGGGCAATGGAATTCTACCCTATTTTATGTGCATAATAAACAGAATACGAGCCACGTACATACAGGGAGTTCGCATCTTTATACGGAATGTCTCTGTATCGACCGGTCAAATAGATTCTATTTTTGTGTGGCCCGACATAATAGTGGGTCAAGACGAGTCGCGTGGATAGAAGGAGATTCTTCCCATTGTACCGAATAGAGGATGTAGGGCGCCGAAGAAGGAGAGGATGGAGAACGACAGGGCAGAACTCCAATATTCGGAATTTATAACCTCTCGTAACTCAGTCGGTTTCTGCACCTAATACCAACCGCCTTTGCCGTAGCCACTGTTCGCGCGCTAAGTTCTCTCTGCGCGAACTCTTCAAAATAATTTCTCCGCCACGTCACTTTATTATTATCATCCCTTCTCGTTTTCGTGCATGGCGAACGAACAACGTTCGAATTTCCTTTCATTTGTTTCACGTTGTGTATATTTGTGAACGCTTTTAAAAAGTTTTTAAATATTTAAATATACTTGGATATTGTTGTTAATAGTTTATTAATTTAATTTACATCATAGAATTAATATTATTTTGAAATAAATCAAATTCTGATTCTCGTTTTTAATAAAAATGGAAAATTTAATAATTATAGAATTTAAAATAGAATTTAATAATTATTCGTAACTTTTGTCGCTAATGAATTATTTATTACCTTTTTCTTTTATGTCTCTGATATAATATTGATCTCATAACGCTGTGTTTTTTAGGCATAATAGAGACTTTACGTTAAAAAATATATCTTTAGCATAAGTTTTGTTTTGCAACTCGAGCTTAATTAATTTCTATAAATGTTAACATATTTTATTGTGTACACTTCAATGGGGAAAGACGAAATAATCATAGATCTTCCCACAGATTAGCTTTGTTCCGTATAGAATATCGCTGGGAAAACACGGTGGCAAAGGTATACTGCGTATCGATTTCGAATTTGTGTATAAGCGGCGCATCGATCCCTCCTCTTTCCCAGCCCGCGAGGTATTATACACCAATAAATTCGCGTAATCGCATATCTCAGGGCAATCGCGTAGTCGGAGAGGTGCTCTTGGAGAAAAATATAACTCCGCCGGGGATTCCCCGAGGCTCTATACATTCGCCTTCTGCGCTTCCGCCTTCGAGACCGCGGCTTCCGCACTTTCCCTCGTTTTCCACCCTGCTCCCCCGCCGTATTTTAATGCCCAGTCGTAAAGCACAGGAAAATTAAAAATTCATATTGGCGAGAATTTAAGAGTCATCCGCGCGTTTACGTTGTTTGCTTCACTGCGTGCGTATTTGCAACATAAACATAAAAATGTGGGCAGAATTGTTGGGCGATATACTATAAATCAGCTGGAATATAACTTTAACTATTTAATATTGTACCTACCTAATCGACCATTCCTTTATTTAAACTCCATTTGATGTACCGAAAGGTGTTATTAATTGTTAACTATCAAGGGTAAACTGATAAAAAGTCTATGCATTTGTACCGTAACATTCGGCTATTATGTAGAATAATAATTTGTATTTTAATATAACGTATAACAATATACAACACAATTAAATTTCTAGTAATAATCGTTATAATTTTAATTGACGGCGCATTTGTGCGTGAATATACCATTCGAGTTATTTTCCTAAATCAAAGAATATAGTAAATATTTTGCGGGTAAATCGAAAACCAGATATTTAATAACTATTATTTAATTGAAAATTAACACAATATTCAAAAAACATTACCCACATTTAAATAACTTTATTTAATATCTATACTAACAATTTTGTATAACAAATTTTATTTTTATTTAGTTCCTTTTTTCACCCAGCAATTTTTTAAATTGATTTAACAATAAAGAAATAAAAGAACTTTTCGCGTGATTAACGGAAATTTATCTCTTTTTGTCTTTCCCTCTTTTCTCTTCACGATATACCTGCGTTTCATCCGTTTTTTCCGCACCATGGCCGGCATTGCGCAAACCGGAAATATTATACCGGAAGGCTGATCCGGTGCAAGAAGAAATGTACGCCAAGTCTCAGTGTAACCACGGAGATGTTTCTCGCGGGTTTCATGCTTTTCATGTTTCTGTCCCGGCCATCCTGCGTCATCCACCTCGCTTTTCCTTCCGTGCCTTTAAACCTTCAGTTTCGGTATATTCTGTACCGGATGACGTTCTTCACGCAGCGCATTTTGCCATTTTGTTAAGGGAATTAAAACGGCAAACGCCTGCGGCGAAATGAATCTGCAAACGTAAGCGAAAGTAATTCAGGAACAATTGTAGAAAACCGCTTTGGTTATTTTTGAGAAAAGTAGTGAAAGGTAATTAAAAGCCTGTGGAAAAGCCTTTATGGTGGCATGCTCGCTGAAAGATGACGACGTGCGAACTGTCACAGCTTAATTATAATAGGATTATGACTTGTGGAAGACTTTTTTACTCTTAATATTTTTCAACTTTTTCACAATTTTTGTATGTGTGTTTATTATTTATGAAGTTTGTAGACTATACAGAACGATTAAATATTTGAATAAATTTTAAGAATTCTTTCCTTTTATACTGAAAAAAAATTCATGTAATTTTACATGGAAATTACATGTTTATGACTGGAAAATTACCTGAGTATGATTTTACAATTTACAATTTCCAATCATATTTAAGTAATTTTCCGGTCATAAACATGTAATTTTCATGTAAAATTACATGAATTTTTTTCAGTGTATGTATTAAAAATGTTTGACTAGAAAGGGTCGTAAATTAATTATTATAAAAATAATATGAGAAGAAAAATTTGAGGATAATAGAGAAGTTTGCATATTTTTGCGAGGTACACTGCAAGTTCTACAGTTCGGAACTTCCATCAGAGAGTTGTTATCGTTGGTGCTTAATTATCGACGGGGACTAAACCGACTTTGGCCCTTGCGATCCTCCACGTCCCTACCGCGAAATCCGGGATTTCCGTGCGTCCGTACCGCAGCAATAACAATAATATCCCTTTGGTTGGTACGTGAAATCCCTTGCTGCAATTGTGACGTATCTAGCAAACGTCAGCCTTGCGTGCTGTTATTGTTGGTACTTAAGACTTATCGCGAAACGGGTGTCTGGCGAAGGATCATCCGGCGTCCCCTACATCGACAAACGCAGAAATAATCAATTCATTACCGAATTCATTGTTTTGTTGAATAATTTAAACGCAAAAATATGAAAATTTGAATATTCATTTCGTCAAGTGTTAATTGTATAAGATATGAATATACATTAAAGGTAATCGGATCCTGTGCTCTACTCATTGTTTCTGGATAATTTGACTCATGCAAATATTTGAAAATGTTTTATATTTTTTTGTTGCTCAGAAATGTTTTTTCTTTTGAACAACGAAAGCAAAAGTATTTATATTTTCCTCTTCTACTTTAGAGAAGTATTTATTGTGCTAGACTCACAATCATATTTTCAATTTTGGTTTTTTAGTATAAAAAATGTAGAATAATTTTTTATTTTCATAAAAAACTATAGGAATTATGATAAATCGTAATAAAAAAGGCAATAGGAGTCGTCGCAAGAATTGCGCAGTATCAAATATTAAAATTGTAAGATAATTAATTTTAATATTTGACTGCGCAATTACTTCTTGCGATGACTCCTATTGCCTTTTTTATTACGAGATTTATTATTATATTAATAGAAAGTGTCCATCAATTTATTGTTCTTATTATAATTTATTAATGTAGAATTATGGAAAGTGCTATTGGAACTGTCATTATTTTTTTTATATTAATAGAATATTGTATTAACTTCACAAATCGGGTCTGATTATTTTACACGATAACAAAAAACGTTTCTTTATTTTTTCGTTTTTTTAAATATTTGTCTTGCACAATATTGGAACTTAATTCTCTGAGATACATTATAACTTTATTTAGTATTAATTCCTTTAAGTTTTTCTGCTTTTTAAAAAAAATTGTTTAAAGTTTTTAAAAAATTGATTAAAAAATTTCAGTATAATTTTGGTCGATAAATAAGAGATACAGTTTGATATCTCTTATCTATCTAAGAAACATTCTAATACTAGTATATAGAAAGCAATGATATCGTTTTTTGTGAATATTTTTTTTGCAGAATCTACTGATTCTTATTTTAGTTATGAAATAACGGGAAATTTAATTTCAATGCAGCACTTATATTATTTATCAAAAAAGTTTTTAAATTTATTCAATTTATTTGAACATTAATTGTTTTTATAT